TGTCACCTAAAAAGTTGCTTCAAAGGAGCACAGCGACTTCTGTGACTGGAGGCACTTCTCACGTGAGTAGACTATATTCTGATAGCAGGAAATGGATTTATGTGCATGAACACATGTACACAAATTCACTTCTGCCTTATCTTAAAGTGAGAAGTATAGTGCATTTAATACATGAGCTTGCATGTTTATTTATCTATATGTGCGTCATCTAACTAGTTCCTGTAAAGGCGGGAAAATGGTAAGGCCTGCACATGCGTGTGCTTTTGTACATCATGTATATATATATATATATATATCATTACAAGTTATTCTCCCTGAGGTGAGTATAAAGTCATACCTCCGGCGGAGTATCAAAGGGAGACTTTCTGAATTGTTTCTCGCAAAATTCAATCGTCGTGACAGCGTTGGACACCAAGCTGAGGGTCAAAGGACACACAAGAAACGTTACATACACACGAACTGGTTACTCATCATAAATTTATTTGCTTGATATGTAGACAACGCAACCGCTGCAGTGTCACGCACTTTGGCACAAGCCAATTACAAGCTCGTGACTATCCTATTATGCCATGTGCAGTGCTGGTTCCCACTGAATTCCATTAATGCACGGAATGCAGTTTGCTCAACACTACATGTGCCTGATAATCGCCAGTTCGTGAGGACATTCCAATTTTTTTGATAATTCAAGCAGAAGCAATGATATGAAGAGGGAAAAGACAGGAAAGGACTTACTAGGAATGAAATACGAGGAAGCCGGAAATGAGAGCGCCGAGGAAGATATCCAGTGTTTCAGCGAAGAGCAGCATGAAGACCCTTTCAAACGATGCCTACGGCAGTACACAGTAAAGCCATTATTGATTCTGTTTTTTCACAACAGTCCCAAACCCATGTTATTTCTCCCTAGCAAAACTTTTGTCTGCTTCGACCCTCCCGAAAGGTGTAGCACCTCTTCTCCCTTGTATTCTTGGTGCCTAAATTCAAAAGTTTAAGCTCTAAGTTTGAACCCGCAAAGCAGAGAGACTGCTTGTATAGAGAATATAAAGAATAGCTTCTGTTCACGCCTCTAGGTGATTGTGTATTTTTTCCTGATTACCTCTTCGCTTTTGATAGCTCGCTTGACGGAAACCAACATGGTAACGGCCACGAAGACAGCCAGAATTGCTCCCCACAGGAGCGCGAGCATAAAGAATTTGTGATTTCCCCAGCCGACGCAGTTGAAGATCCAAGGACAGTGATGGTCCATTTTGAGGACGCAAGATCGACACACACGACAATGGTGAGCTCTATCTGGCTTCCACTGGCAACACCACTTGCATGCTCGCCGCCCGCCACTCTTCTTGGTCTCCTGAAGCATCCGCAAATAAACTCAGAAATTGTACAAGACTTGGAGTAGGCAACTGCAGTCACGGACAAAGCAAAGTTCAAAACCTCCATGGTAGCCTTGTTTACTCTCCACACATTGTGAAATCGCTGGTGTTCCGGTACAAGTTTGACAGCAGTTTCTTCGGCTGCTGCGGTATTATAACTACTAGTATCTATATATATGTTTTATAAATCTTGTTTTCTGGTTGTGAGGAATGGTACTGTGATCTATGTTGACGAACAATTACAGTTGTGGTGCCTGGCTGCTCTGAGCCATCCTCCTTAAAGCTCCATTGGTCTGTCTTCGGAATCGAACCTGCTGGGGTGGTGACGGCTAGCCAGTAGCTCAGCAAAAATAGAAATGTTAAGGTAGCAAAAGCTATAAGCTCGTAGGACCCTCTGCAAACCCGAATAAGAAGCGCATAAATGTAACAGAAACTCTGGACTGCCTTTAACCTGTATTTAGCTGGTCCCTACTATGCAGTGGTATATCTACACACATTTCAATCTGTTTAGGAAAAGCAGCATGTGCATTTTGAGGCTTTTTAAGAGCATTTTTACTTTTGAAATCGCCGCGCATCGCGGAGAGCAGGGGGCCTTCCTATTTGCAGCTGCGGCAAGCAGTGAAACTGAAGCAAAACAAAAAAGGCGCATGGTTGTTTAAAATTCAGCTCTAAAGACGACTAGTCGTATTCGCTCTACTTTACAGAAGTGAAGGTCCTGAGTAAGCACTCTGGACTTCGTAAAGTATTTTCATTGGCCTGCCTCATTTCCCTACTGCTGCATGCAGATGTTCCCCAGCGTCACCTCATCTTTGTGTCCGTTTCATTCAATTTACTTTTAGAGAAATACTCACCGCAACATATACCAAGTTGATATAGAGCACCAGCAGCATGAGAAAAAGCACAGGGAGGCAGCGCAACCACTGACAAGAGCGGGATGGAGCCTTGCCGAAGGTAGACACATCATCTAGAAAGATATCTTCTGCTGCTGCATTTTCAACCGAACCTTTTGCTGGGGCAGATGCTGCTGCTAAGGACCTCATCATTGGAGCTGGCGACGGCGTGCGGGGCTGCCTGCCTTTTCTCTCCCCCATTCCGTAGGCTGCAAGAGCCTCGGGCTCCCCCTCAGCTGAAGACTCCCATGGTTCTGCTGCTCGCTGCACATCTGCTGCAAGAAGTGCTGTGTGTTCGCTGTCTTCAGCCTCAGCGGCAGCAGCCGAAGCTTCCGCAGCGGCTGCCTCTGCTGCTGCCGCCATCGTCGCCGCCGCCCGCTCTGCAGCTGTGGGAGGAGTTTCTTCATCTTTCATTCTGTCAGGTTTTGTGCTGCTGCTGCTGCTGCAGTGCGCAGCGCCGATCCCTCCCTGCCGCCACAGAGGCCCCCGGGTCCCCCTGCCGCCCTGTAGTTGCCCCTCGAATCCTCTAGCTTCGTGTTTGGCATGCAAAATGAAAAGCTTCTCAAAAAGTGATTCAGTTGAATCTAAGTGGTCCTGCTTTTGCTCGCTTCCTTAGCGAGAAGACAGAGTGTTGTCGAGGGCGCAGCAGAGCCGGAGGGACTCAGCCAGCAGCAAGGGTCGCAAGATAAATTCGCCCCCTAATTTGTTTGTAGCTTGCAAAAATAGCTTAACCATACAAAATAGTTCCCTTGTGCTACTTCAAATAGTTGAAGAGCCTAGTTTCGCTTGCAAACGGACTTCAGCCGATGCTGCCGGCCGATGTGTCGGTGGCGGCTGCTGCTGGTCGGTACGCCGTGAGGCTGCCGCAGCAGTAACACTGTGCCAGCCAGTCTTTTCCCCCCAATAAAAGACAAGAAGGTTATAAAAAGTTGAATTTTCTCTGTGGAATGTTTTAGTTATGCTTGTTTGACTGCATAATCAGCACAATAGCTTGACAACAACAGTGCAGCACTTCTGTTGCGGGTGCTCATGATGACCGACGGTCTCGCGCTGCTAATGCTACCTTCTGCCGCCACATTAGCCAGAAACAGCGCTTAGTGGAAGCAAAAAGTCAGTTATTGAACTGCAAAAACACATGAGTTCTCCAGACGCGTTCCAAACATCCCCAATAAGAAGGAAGCCGACAAAGTAGAGTCGAGTTAGCCACAGACCACCGGTCAACTCTCTTGCCACCAACAGCACAAGACATCTCACATACATCTTTGTATCAATGAATTGAAACCCTCTGTGGCAGTGGGCCAACAAATGCAAAGATCCACACCTACTTGTAAACTCGCGAACCCCTGGGGAGGTCCAGCGCACTCCGGTGATCCACCTTTCAAATCGAATGCTACTCCACACAGTCAATCACCACTCATGAAATCTTCGCAGCAACGGTCAAATGACTAATTCAGTTCCATCAGACAAATGAAACCGATTAGCAAAGGAAGAAATGCCTAGACGTTCCGCGCGATACGTGAAGTTGCATACAGTGTAGTCAGATAAGCGGCATTCAAATAACCTGAGGCAGAAATGCCGAAACTCTAATATCAATCTCCTTTCTTTGTATTATTATTATCATGATAGGTAATGCCACGTGCTAACATTCCCCTCTTATCTTCTTATCCCCACGTGGGCTGATAATGGCATTACCCGAACAATTGCAAGAATACCACTGCTATACCTGCCTACAATTTCCATATGTATATATATAAATGCATTCGGCCGACAAGATGATGCCAGCAGCCAAGAACGCCGCCAGCTGCGGCGAAGCTCCTCCACTTTCTATTCAGTTAGAGCTAGTTGCAAGATGCTGAAGGATCTATCACTAGCGCATTAGAAAGAGCTGAGAAAATGCATTGAACAGCCTCGTCAGCTCCGCCGGCGAAGCATTTCATAAATATAAATGCATCTGAGTGCACACCATCATCTATGTAATGCATATTGCACATTATGTATATAGATTACACGTACACATTATCTGCCGTGCAGCCACTACGTACATGAATATACACGTATATGCATAATTATGTACACTGACATGAATGCATGCACATACACACGTAGTCAGGTTGACTAAAGCTGCATGCATTCCTGGCGAGTTCTACAGCTTTCTTTTCCTGAACTACTACTACTGAAAGAGCTACAATTAGCGCGTTGAGAGTTCAAACGCAAGAAACAATAATATGCTCACGAGTTCTACGAAATTCCCCATGCATGTCAAAGAGCATACATCGAGACGGAGAAGCGGCAAAAGGCAAAACTGAGGAAATGGGAAAGAAAGGCAGACTACCCATTCGAGCCTCAAAATCAGCCAGCAGAAACATCCCCCGTTGCTACAGCTGCAGCCTCTACAGCTCCTGGCATAGCCGCCTTTGCTGCAGCAACTTTGCTGCTGCAATGAATGCTTTGTTCTGCTACTGCTGCTGCTGCTGCTGCGAATGCAGCACGCCTTGCGGCTGCACATGCCGAGACCCAAGGAAATAGTGCTCCTGCTGTGTACTGGCTCAGCTGGCCCCACACAGCCTCCCTTTGCAAACAAAAGTACAAAATAAATGAATTTATTTGGCCTAAAACTTGCCACATCTACGTCACAACCAAGAAAAGACAAGCAAATACCATATAATCCACAAACAGCCAAGCAGAAGAACACCTAGTTTTGAAGAAGCTGCTGAAAGCAAACAGCCAAGGACGCAAATGCACTCTACGCCTTAAGAGATTTCCTGCCTCGTTTGTCACTGCTGCTGCTGCTACTGCTGCCTTTGCGACCTGCGCCTGGCTTCGTGACCTTCGGGCTGCCCTTTGCCGCTGCAGCTGTCGCTGTTTTCTTGGATGCTTGTGCTTGTGGCTGCTGCTGCTGCTTCGTTGCAGCCTTCGAGGCAGCTGCTGCGCTCTTGTTGCTGCTTCCTGAAGCGGCTTTTTTGGTCACCGCAGCAGCGGGCTTTTTGCTGGCGCTGCTGCTGCTCTTGCTGCTGCTCCGTGAAGACGTCTGCTTCCCCCGCGCTGCGGCTGCAGCAGTATCCTTAGTAGACTTCCCACCTTTAGTTGCTTGAGTGCCTTTCTTCTTTATTTCCTTCTTCACAGCGGTAGGCTTTTTGGGGGCGGCGGCAGTTTTGCTCTTCGTCTTGGCTTTCGCTGCTGCAGTTGTTGGTGCTTTGCTGCTGCTGCTGCTGCTGCCGCCTCTGCTAGCAGCGACACGGCCGCGGTCTGCTCCCTTTCTCCCTGTCTTGGCTACTTTCGCTGCCTTCGCTGATGCAGCCTGCGCAGATCCCTTTTCTTTCCTAGCTGCAGCAGCAGCAGCAGGCTTCGACTTCGACGAAGCAGCACTTGCGGAGTCTTCATCAGCACCTTCAGGTGTACGTGCAGCAGCTTCTCCACGCGAAGTTTCTGCTTCTTTGCTGCTGCTTCCGCTTTCCTCTTCATTGTCACTGGCCCCAGACGAGGCAGCAGCAGCTGCTGTTGCTTCTTTCACGGCTGTGGCTGCTTCTTTTGCTGCTGCTGCCGCTTCCTTTGCTGCTGCTGCAGCCTTCTCTGCAACAGCTACCTGGCGAGCAGTAGAACGGGATGCAGCAGCTGCAGCAGGGCGCCCCTTGGTCTTTTTGCTGCCAGTGTCTGCCTTTTCTGATGCAGCCGAAGCTTCTTCTTGCTGTTGCTGCTGCTCCTTTTCTCCTGCTGCTGAGGCTCTCCGCCTATGCTGCCGCTTTGCAGTAGCAGCCTTGCGTGGCTTCGTGGTACTGCTTGCCGCTGCTGCTGCTGCTGCGTCTTCTTCTTCAGCTTCCTCTGCTGCTTCTGTAGCGTTCGGTGGAGGTTCCGCTGCTGTAGCGGCTGTCGCGGCAGCAACAGCTGCCGCTTCTGCTGCGCTTGCGGCAATGTCGGCCGCTCCGGCGGCATCACTGGCAGCAGCAGCAGCACTCTCTGCTGCAGCAGCCGCTGTCTCAGCCGCAGCAGAAGCTGCAGCTGCTGCACTCGCTGCCGTTACCGCCGCCTCCAGCTTGTCGGCATTCTGCTGCTGCTCCTCTGCCTCAACGTCCATTTCCTCTATAGCTTTTTCCCGCTGAGATGTTGCTTCTGGCTCCGCAGCAGACTTTGACGCTGCAGCAGCTGCTGCTGCACCTTCTTCTCGTGCTGCTCGAGAAGTGCTTCTGCTTCTGCTGCGGCTTCTGCTGCGGGCCTGAGAGTTCGTTGGCACTTCCAAAGAAGGCCGGCCTTCGTCTGCAGCACAGCAGTGCGACAGCAAAAGAAACAGAAAAGGTGGCAGCAGCAGCACTGCAACACGTCAGCAAAGCAACAGCAGCAGCAACAGGAAAGCGTGAAACAGGAAATGCTGCAGCTAATGCTCACGCTTAGCCTTCTTGGATGGAGGTGCTGCGTCTTCTGTTCCTTCTAGAGGTCGCTTCAGCTGCTGCTGCCCTTCGCCGTCCTCTGCTTCCTCAGCAGCAGCACACACCTCCTGCTCTGCAACTTGCTGCCGCTGCTGCTGCTGCTGCTGCTGCTCGGCGTGGGCACCGTCCCACACTAACACCGTGGAGTGCTGCGCTCCACCGCAAGCCTGCAGCAGCAATACTCAAATGCGCAGCAAAACATGAGAGCAGCAGAAGGCAGCCACAGAAAGCAGCAAAGTAAAAAGAACTCGGGAAACTCTAAGAAGACTGGCAGCCAGCCAACCATGCAACTAAGCAAACTGCTGCTGCTGCTACGACTCCTACTCCTGCTGCTGCTGCTGCAGCTACCTGAAGAACAAACTGTCCCTTGAATTGTTTGGGATCGATCCTGGCGGGGGAAGCAAGGAGAGTGGGATCGTCTCCCGTTCCCAGTTGGTAGTTTTGTCCCGCTCCCCAGGTGTACAGACACCCCGACACAGACACCGCAAGCGAGTGGTCGCTGCCGCAGCCAATCCACCGAAAACGCAAACCCTCTTTTCCCTCGCAAAGTGGCAGCAAACGGGGGCCTCCCGAAGGGACACAGAAAGTAGATCCGCGCCCTGCAGCAGTAGCAGCAACAGCAGCAGCAGCTTCAGCAGCGAAAGCGGCAGAGGATCAACACATGAAACAGCGGCCGCCCCGCCAGCCGAGCCAGCGCTTCCAGCTGGCCGAGTACAGCGAATCGGGAGCCACTGGACACAGCAGCAGCAGCAACAACAGCAGCAGCAGCAACAACAGCAGCAATGACATACCCAGGAAGTTTTCTTGTCCCCAAGTGTACAATTTGCCTCCTTTTGTTAATGCCATCGTAAAGAACTGGCCCCCACAAACATACTTGAGGGGCCCCTCCTGCAGCAGCTGCACCCTCTTGAAATGGCACACCACTGCCTGCTGCTGCTCCTGCTGCTGCTGCTGCTGCCTCTGCTGCTGCGCAGGCCAGAGGCCCAGCTCGCCCTGAGTGTTGCGGCCGCAGCCAAAAAGAAAAGTCTCGTTTGCTGCTGCTGCTGCTCCTTCAGCAGCAACAAAAGTCGTGCAGCGGCCGCAGTAAACAGCTGTCAGCACCTTCACCTCCTCAGGAAGACCCAAGCTGCAGCAGCAGCAGCAGCAGCAAAAGCAGCCCCGTTGCAGCAGCAGCGCCAAAAGCCGCACGCGGCAGCAAGTCCCGATGCAAAGGCAGCACAGCTGCTGCTGGCAGCAGCAAAAACAGCCGGGATAAAACTTTTATTGAAAGTTAAAAGACTTGCCTTTCTACTGATCTTCTGGAAGGTTTGAGTAGCGCTCGTTTCTCCTGCAGCGCCTCGTCGGTTGCTGCAGCCCCAGCAGCAGCTGCT